CATCCAATGTGATAAATGAAAAGGTTAAAAGAAGAAAAGAATTGACTAAATCGATTGCTCGGACTCTCAAGTCCCCAGTGGAGTCGCCAACTGTCGCGCCCCATTTTTTGATAAATAAATAAAATGAAATGGTTTAAAAAAATGTATTTTTGTGATTGAATTTGTGATTGGAAAATGAATTGTGAATTAAAAGAAAAATGGGTCTAAATGGGGGTTTGAGAATGCGACGATTTGACCCAAAATTATAGTTTAAAAAGGTTTTTTTTTTTAAAACAAAATACGGAGTCGCCACTTGGTAATGAGTTAAGGTGTACCAGGTCACCAAAAAATGAATTTTTAAGAAAAATAGGAAAAAGTAGTGAGAAACCCTTTTTAAACGACTCCTAGCCCACGTAAACCAAAGAAAAAGGTTCGGGAGTCACATTTGACAAAGGGGAAGGCAAGGATAAAATCCAAGGCACCCCTTTGACCTAGCCAAGGCTAGTTGCATGATTTAATCAAAGATTTTCTTGTTTTAATCAAAGAATTTATTACATTTGGATGCACTACATGAATGCAAAATGAAGAAAAAATGCAAACCTAAATTCTAAAATGTCTCTTGCAAGGTTTTTGGTCCCAACCACATGAATTGTGGCGGCCAATAAAGGACAACCTTATAGAGGTCGATTAATGCAAATGATGGCTAAAGTGCAAGTGTGCAAGTGTATAAAAAGGTGAACGTGTGAAATTGTATGAAAAATCCAAGTGTTTGTGTGCAAGCGTATGAAAAGGTGCATGTGTGAAATTGTATGAAAAATCCAAGTGTTTGTGTGAAAATAGAATAATAGATATATAAGGTAAAGTGGAATTCCATTTGTGAGGTGAAAATGAGCGCGTGATAGGAAAAATGTAGTGAGAAAGTATGGTTTGAGAAATGTGAAAAAATGTGGTTAAAAGAGTATGTGGGTGATAAAAATGAAAGTATGACCCTAGAGGAATGCAACAAGTCGGGTACGGGGGTTGACTCCTAACTTTTCGACTTCTATTTTCCCTTTGATTAGAAGGCAAAACTAGCGTGCTAAGGCTATTGAGTAGCCACACTCGCTCGTTTTCCTTATCGGAAGGGGACACTCAAGCAAAATGAACCCTATAGCTAGCATGAGATGCAAAACCTAAAGTGAGGGGAAAGGGATTCGAGGAACATGCCCAATGATAAAACTAAAGAAAGTTGTATGATATGTGGTGAACAAGCAAATGATGCACTAATGAAAAGAAAGGAAAAAGCCTATTGGGTCTAGCGTTGGACTAGCCCTTTCTATGGATTTCTACTAGCATTGGACTAGTGGAAACGGAACAATGAACCACAACTAGCGTTGGACTAGTGTGGTGACGAGAAAGGGGGCCACAACTAGCATTGGACTAGTGTGGTGACGGGAAAGGGGGCCACAACTAGCATTGGACTAGTGTGGTGACGTCCATTCATCCATCACATTCATTCATGACTATAAAAAGCGAGTAGACATGCGAATCACTTATAAACACGTAGCACATAACACTTAGCATGCTTGACTAGATGCAAGGACCTAATAAAGCGATTAAACACGTAGCAACGAAAGCAAGCAATGAACTTATTACATTTGCTAACTAAAACAAAGGGGGGGAAAGGGAAAATGGACAAGAAAGCTCACCAAGCCCTATCTATTACAAGCCAAGAGGTGTACACATACCCCATTTAAAAGAATAATTTAATAAAAGCAAGAATGAATGAAATAATGGAACTAAAGAATGGTAATGAAAGCAAATTAGGCATGCGATTCACACTTAGCACATTGGATCACATAGGAGAGACAAAAGGGATAAAAGAAATTATACCTCCCTTGAAATGAAGCTCTAATGGAGTGAAGTCAACTTATTTACCCTCCAAAATAATAAAGGAGTCAAGGTGCCAATTTATTTGACAAATAATCACAAAGGATAAAAATAAACATGAATTTGAATCAATTAAATCATGTCAACAACCCACATTTAAGAAGTCAAGAGAAGAAAAGACTTGATTGCAAAAAAAAATTAATAAAGTTTTGGGGTCAAAATTAAAGAAAAATAAAGTTTAGGGGCCTATTTACAATTAAGTTAGGGACCCAATTGAAAGAGGTTGAAAATGTTTAGGGCCACAGTACAGTTAAAGAGAAAGTCAGGGGCTGATTTGCAAATGCCTTTTTTCTGGTTTCTTAGTGGATCAGGCTACTTGGGCCATTTATTTGTTTGTTTGGGCCAAAGCTTCCTTAAGCCCGATCAAAAAAAATCAAAGAAAACAGATGGGCTGGCCTTCACTTTCCAGCAAAGCAAATCCAACCAAAAGAGTGGGCTTCACCTCTTAAGCCCAAACCAGAAATCCAAACAAAAGAAATTAAGCCCACTTTTCAAACCCAACCAAATATTAATACCCAAAAAACCCAACTCATAAAACTAAACCCAACAAGATTAGCAAGTCAAATAAAATTATCAAGCCACAATTATGATCTAAAATCAAGAATTAATCCACCCAAAAGACTGCTTAAAAAATTGAAAGGATAATTAAAGTCTAAAAGGGCAAAATTGGTTTAATTACAAAAGGTTTTAGGCCATATCAGAATAGGGGAAATTCGAGGGATTCAAATGCAACCAAAGCAGGGACCTAATTGAAGGACTTATGCAGGTGTTGGAGGCAAATTATGAAGCTCAGAAAATGCAGGACCAAATCACAAAACAAAAAGAAAATGGAGGGATTGAAACTTCAATTTAAGCAAGTATTCATCTTCCCCAAATGAATTCAACATCAGACCAACATTGCTACTTTCTTACGAAGGAAAAATGTCCGAAAAAAAAAAACTTCGGACTCACATGAATTTCTTCTCATCTGAATTCATATCATTAAATCGATTTTATGCAAGAAGGGAAATTAAGAAAACAAAGCCCGTCAAATACTGCTTTTATTCACGAAAAACGACACCGGCTACTTGTTCTCTTCATCCGAAAAATGCAGATAAATCACCTTGGAATCAGAAATTTCAATCAAGCAATTCGTCGAACAGGTTAGGGGCGTTAGAAAATTCACCAATTCTTTGTTATATGGAAGCAATAATCGGCCCAAAATTTATCAGAAATCAAGCCATTCAGCTCAATCAACGTATGCAGCATGTGTATTCAAAAATGAAGCCAATTAACAGGAGAATTGCACCAAATAAAATCACGGAAAACCCATTTCAAAAGCCGGACAAGAACTGGAAAATTTTTATCTCCACCATGTTTCAGTCCAATTAGCGAGAAAACAAAACATACACAATTACGAAATCACATATAAAGCTATAGGCAACTAATCAATATCAGAAAAATGAACAATAAGCTTCAAAAAATCTAGAACCGAAACTCGAAAATTAAGGGAGAAAGACTTACAGTGCTAATCTCAATGAGCTTCAATGATGGTGGTAGTGGATTTCGGTGGGCAGCCTTCCCTTCTTGCTTCTGGCCCGAAGTTCTTCTGAATGGCCTGCTTGTGGCTTCGTTATGGAGATTGAGGAGAGGGATCGTGAGGCTTTTGGGAGGCGGATTGGGCTTCCTTCCATTTCTGTGAAGCTTTGATAGCTGCAACCAATTCTTTCCCTGGCAAAGCTCGTTTCTTCCTCCGTTCAGCCGAAGCCTCCCTTTTCCTTTTTCTGCTTTTTCCCTTGCCAGCCGACCTTTTCTTCTTCCCAAGCCCAGACCAAATCTCCCATTTTCCATCCGCGGCCCCCCCTATGGTTCGTCCGTAGCTTCTCTTTCTCTGTTTTTGTTGTCTCCTTTCTCCATCAGACGGAAGCCTCTGACTTCCTTGTTTCTCCCTAGCCAGCCATCCCCGATTCTCCCTTTTTGTTTTCTCATTTTTTTGATTTTCCTTTTTCTGTTTTTCTATTCCTTCCCCCCTGGCGTGGCCGAAGCCTTCCTCTTTGTTTTTCTTGTTCTGTTTTGCTCTCTAGCCGCCCCTCAATTTCTCCCTCTCTGCCATTTTCTCAGCCGAAGACCCCTCTCGGTTCTTCCCTCTGCTGTTTTTTCCTTTTTCCGTTGTGTTTTCCCTTGGTCAAAAACTTCCGCCAAACTCCTCTGTTTTCTCTTTTTCTGTTTTTTGCCCCCGCCCCCTGCTGAAGATCCCCTTGTTTTTTTCTTTTCTTTCCCTCTCTTTTTTCTTCCCTCCGATGATGCTCTCTTACTCCTCTAAATGTGTAACACCTAAACCCCTTTGTTGTCCAACTAGAATGAGGACATTTGTCCCACATGCAAGATTCCACTTGACATTTTTATTATTTTCTTCTTTTTCTTTTTTTTTTCCTGAAATTTAGTATGAAGATCAAAATAAACTAAAATGGCCTAAAAATAAAATAAATTAAAATAAAATAAAAATAAAATAAAATAAATAAATAAACCAAAAACTAAAAATTGAACACATAAATCTAAACTTAAATCAATTAAAAACAGAGTTGAAAAAATCAAAAATTTGGTGTCTACAATAATGTAGTAGAAGTAATATGAATAATGATTAATAAAGATACAAGAGAATTGTTACAGTTTTTTTTGAATAATAATATATAATGATACAAGAGATTTGTTATAGTTATATTGCATAGATGATATAGTCTACAAGTGGACTCTTAGACCAAATTTACACAAGTATTTGCCATCTTTTGAAGCTTTATCAAGTTAGCAGGAAAGAATTCATTTTCTTCCAATATCAAAAAAATAAAAAACTCATTTTTTCCCTTCCCCCCCACCCCCCTTCTCTCGAGGAGACCAAAAAACCATATTATATTGTCATGATCAAATGCTCTACTATTTTTAGTTTGCAACTAAGAATGCCTAGTCTAAAATTTAGTGCATTCACGATCAACAAGACTGTAAATTTAAGCAATTTTTTGGTAAAAATATGCAAAGTTCACATAAAACTTATGTTTGTACTAATTTAGTTCATGAACTTTAATCTTGTCTTACATTGGCGCAATAAGAAATAGAAGTTTAGTGCAATGACATATTATTTATTACTCCAAATAGTACAATTAATGCTGCTCCTTTATTTGATAAATCCTGTCAAACTGCAGCTGTAGCACGCAAGCAAACTCATAAACATGCTTCAGCTTTAATTGGCAGCAGCAAATATAATGTAGTACCAATTGTTAACTTCAGTTCAAATTTTTAAGATACCAAAAAGTAGAGTACTCTCCATTATTGCATACACACAGATTCTTCTAAATCCCTGCATATGCATACAAGGCCAGTCAGAGAGTCATGGCACATAAAAGAATCTGCAACATATTTTCATTAGGGAATGAAATAATTTGAAGTGTTCCTCATCAACTTTGGTACATTCACAATGCAACTGAAGCGACCAACAATTTCTTCTCCTTCAAGCTTTCAACTGTTTCCTTGATGCTTTGTTCAAAGGGAGTGAATTCAATTCCTAAGCTCTTTGCCTTTTCCTTGGAGACCTGATACTCTGGCACAAATGGCTTGTCATCGGCACACCTACAAGGATCAGACCAAGTGACAGAGTTGGTCATCGTCCAGTAAAAGCAATCTTATATACATGATTTTTTTGCTTTCTTCAATCTTTATCAATCTTTCAGGAGTCCAATTATGTCTGAAAGTAGGTAACTAAAATGAAAATTCATCGCGTCCAGATGACATGATATGAATCACAATAGGCAAACATATATAGGGATGTCTTACTTTAAGACATGACAATCTCAGGTATAACATCACATAAAAACTGTTTATCCTCGTCAAACCATCAAGTACAGCAGAAAGACAAAAGAACGATAAAAGCTTGCTTAACTTAAACACAATATAATTTCCTGTCAGTTTTCTAATTTCTTTCTGGTTGGGTTCATCTACCTCACATTTTTTTGGACATGGAAAAAAAAGAATAGTAGATGCAAAATTTGAAAGGTGAAAAATCTGATTGCTATGACGAAAGGTCAAAACTTCCAGGTGAACACTTCAAAACATGTAAGCATATTACCTCCAAGATTTCCTAATTACAGGTTTAGTTAGCAGAGAACCCTATTCATGTACTAAAGTGTTCTGAATATTTGCAAATAGCAAATTCATGCTTTTATCATAATCCTGAAAATATTATGATCATGTCATAGTCATAATTCTATTATTACTACTTTAAAGTACTTCAGAAAGAATCAATCTCCATTAAGTGAAATGATCATATACAAGTATTCTTGAAGTAAGGCAGCTTATCCAGACACTAACAAAGTCAGCTGATACAAGTCACCTTTCTAGAATGCACACAATGAACTCATTGTTCTTGACGTTACTGCTGCTTATATTGCCTTCTCATTTGAGATTGATGTGCACAAGAAAATGTTTATTTAAGACCAGAAGAATAGCATATTTGGGCTGAGAGTAACATGAAAGTTAAGAACAAGCCCTATAGAAATAGTATAATTCAGAAATGCAACCTAGTTAACAGCAAGACAATGTTATCTACTAGTCAATCTCAAGGTAAAAGAAACCTCCAACATATGTTATCTACTAGTCAATCTCAAGGCAAAAGAAACCTCCAACATCTTTGTGCCATCTGCTATGCTCGATTCATAACATTCTGAAACCTAAAATGACATATATATGTGCAGTAAAAATTCCCAAGAACCAAACCATCATAACAAGGACTAGAGCTTTAACCATAAAGTACTAATTTAATTGACTAGCTAGCAAATGTTAACGCTCCTGAACGTTCTGTATCTTATTTCCATTTCAAATAACAAAAAAATTCAAAATCTTGTAAAAACTTCAACACCCTTGACCAGAAGGTGTGTCGTAATCAGTAATAATCAGATGCATCCAAGTTTTAATCAAATACGAATTTAACTCAGATGAAGGAACTGTGCTGTTTCCAAAGATACTCTTCATGAGAGTTTCCTAACTTTTATCACGTCTTGAGTTTTGGATGCATGGTCTACCCTTGGTAGAAGCGTGGAAATATGGATTATATATGTGATCAAATGATGAACTTCATAATAAGTCTAACATGATCCTATATTGCACATTTAGATAAGTACATCTGAATGCATCGTCAAATCCAAATTACAGAGCTTGGACTTACTTTACTGGAAGCTTTAAGGAAGGATAAAGTTCATGCAAGATCTTCATAACTTTGGAGTAGTGTGCCACTTGTTCAACCAGGCAGTATCTTCCACTAGCCAATGGATTTTCAAAAGCTAGTATATGTGCATTAGCAACATCTTTCACATCAACCCAGGGAAATGTTGAATTTGGAAATGTTTCTGCACCTATTGAGACAAAAACCCAGAAAACAGAAAACTGAGTGAAACCATTAGCATATCTGGAAAGAATGTGAAGTTATATGAAGAATTCAACAACAGCTAAGAAAAAATTAGAACATACAATATATCCAGTCAAGGGCAAGACAAGGTTCATATCATCTTCTTTTATGTACAAACATTTCTAACAGAGAGAGTAAAATAGAATGAGAAAATGTTTACAACAAGCATACTTGCGCTTATGCTGAATACTTGTTTGTTTCACATTTCCTTTTTACTTTAATTAAGAAAGCATCAGGAAATTTATAACTTAGATATAAGCACAATAAAAAGTGCAGTAAAACATCCCTGAAGCACACTAGATCAAACAAAATAAGTTTTTTACATGATAGACGACCCAAAAGATTTTGGTACTTGAGTTCCAGATAAACAACACATATATGCACATCTCAACACAAAAAGGCTATAAGAAAACAAAAATTATTGTGGGCACACCTGCTGCCGCACTTGCAAACAGACGAGACTCTGGCCAAACTCCAAATGTGAAATGACCATGTCATCCACCTTCTGAAAACTCAAATCCACTAAACAGGCAGAGAACTCACAACAAACTTTCCAACATGGCAAATTACATGACACATTGCTCCAATTACCATGAAATTCTTGGGATAACTAAATTGACTAAACAGGCTCAGCTTATGGCTTCCACGGTGCATTGCTCCCAAGTACATAAATTGGCCACTCTAGTGGTAGTTTGGCCATTTTCATTTGGTCTCAAGTTGATTTTCAGTTGAATCAGCTAATCACAAGTTCTACCCTGATTTAAATTGCGCCCACATTCTCCGCTATATTTTCATATAGTTTCAATAGCTAAATTAGCAAGTGGTTTGGGGTAAATCTTCACAGTACTGGATGTAATTGTATATAGTCCACTAGACCAAAGACTCAACCAAGTATTCAGGAGGGGGGGGGGGCAACACCACCAACAACAACAAACTTGAGTCATTGTTATTCAACATGCAACTTTCAATCCCATTTCTATTCTTTGAGCAAATAAAACTTTCTCATTCAACTGAAATTAATATAAGAAAGTATATTATGTAAGTATCTATATAGTAGATGTGCAAGTATAGACTAAGAAAATTAGAGCAAGTTAAAAATGAATAAATAAACAAAAATAAGCCAACAACCTAAAGCCGATAAACTTGAATTATGGTTTCAGTAGCAACACCAAGGACAGCTTCAAAATTTTCTCGGTTCCCTCAAAGGCAGAATCAAGGGAAAAAAAAGGTTTACCAACAGCATAGCATACGGGTCTGTGCCCTCAAATAATAACTAAGCAGATCCAACCAAAAGAGCAAGTTCCAGAGATTTGGTTTGCTTTCTCTTTATGTAAAAATCCATACCATTTATTAGGTTCAATATTACAGCACCACTGGTGTTAAGTGTTGGCTGTAACAGAGGTCCGATCACCATGGCTGGGTTTATTGCAACCATGTCTATGTCATTCTCTTTTACAAACTTCCAGGCTTCATCCTCAGCCAATGTCTTCGCAAGAATGTACCATGACTAGAAAAGGAGAAGGTAAAAGAAAAAGAACAACATCATATATATCTCCTTTTTAAATACTAACCATTTTTAATTGGCTGTATCTTGAAAGGCAATAATACCCAGTCGCGGAAAACAGTTTGCCTGAGTGAGCAAGGTGTCTATCATGGGGAGAGAGAGAGTCTCAAGTTTCTAGCAGCATCATGCTGATAATTATGGTGGAAAGCAACTTGAAGCATGATAGAAGCACTTAGCAGGAAGCAGGATGAGTAATTTCCGGAGATGAATAAAATAATTAATCATGTATCTTGAATTCATGACCAGCACAGTAAAGTGTACTACAATGACATAATCATGTATACTATGCCCAAGATGATGGAGAACTTAACCAGATATAGAAAAGGATCTTGAATCATGGTTGATTCTAATTATTATCTAGAGTTAATTGTTTCAGAGTTTGGTTTGAAGATTTAAAACTTTAGCAACTCAGAACATGTCTTAACTTATGAAATTTCAATTCAGTTTTCAGCTGATCCCAAAAGTTGTCACCTTTTGGCTTTTCCATTAACTATTCCTAAGCTAATGACTGATTTTCAATGAAAGATATATATTAGTGCAATTGGAAAGTAAAGCAAAAGCTTTGGGAACAACATCAAATGGTTTTCAATGTTAGTCAGAGCAGAAAATAGTTTACAGGTCATTATCCAAATTCATGTATAATGTCTTACACAGAACAGAAAGTGACATTCACAGACCTTGGTTTCTTTGCAGAAATCTGGAAGAGTCCACCAAGTCTCATCAACCACCACGTCAGGAGTAAGAGGCTTTCCATTGAAGCCAACTGAAGCAAAAGAGGAGGTCAAAATCACTCTTTTGCACATGATTTAAGTACATTCAGAGTCCCTTTTACGGCAGGATCAATCAATTCAGCCTGTCAAAAAAGAATTGCAAATAAGTGATGACTGACAGATATCAGAAATCATTCCAGCTAACTGGAACAAAGTTCATATGAAACATATTTAGTACAGATGTATTTGGAAAAAGTACCATTTATCTTTACTTTCATTTTGAACAGTGCTTTTTCCATGACGCAAATATATTTTCCAGCTTTTCAGGGTTCCTCTTATATTCATTAGCTCTGCCATAAATCAACATGTACAAATAACTCGACAATAAGTCCGACTCTTTTAGAGTAATTACTGTGCTTTTAGAGAGATTGAGGTCCAGGATGACTAAAACCAGTTAAATTAAATAGTCTTTTAATTTTAGGTTGAACAATGGTTTCGACAAAGCTATGCAGATAACAAAGTATTCTTTTTAAGCAGACAGTGGTTAATTGGTCATAGCCATTAGACAGAAATCAGACATTGGTTTACTTCAGTGCAAAATATTTCCACCTAGAAGAATTAACACACCCCAAATCTGAGCAAATGAGTTTTCATTCAAGAAACTAAAAAGCTTGCTTTTGCCACAGAGAAGCTATTAAAACATCCTTATCCATGTCCCTTTAGGGTTGCAATTGCATTTAGTTGGATTTTGGCCCAAGTTAATATCTTTGGTTGTGAAACAACCACATTATCTTTTTTAGGTTCACCTAAATTGCCTGAGAACCTTAACCATCTATACTTCTACATTTCTTCACAACTCACCAACTCCTACTTATTTCTTCAAAACAAGCTGTTTACCATTAGTTTGCAAATGCAAGGGATGACATCTAGTATCTTCTTTCATGAGACAGGTAGGATGATATCTAGTATCTTCCATCATGAGACAAGTAGGACTGTATTTACTATTTCCCTAGATGTGGAAAAATAATATTAATGACAAAAGCAGTTAATACTATATAATCCCTGAGAACAAATGAATTGGCTTTCAAAAAAGTTTCAACACCAGAAAGCACAGAGTAGAATACTCAATGCTACACCAAAATGAGTGCAGCATACGACTAATTCTGAATGTGAATATCGACACAAAATGAGATCAAATTCACAAAAACTCCACATAATGTAAAAAAAGACAAGCAAATGCACTCCCACAGTAAGGAATTTGACCACTTTTACTTAGGACACGGGATTTATAAGGTTTTAGAGCCAACATTGTTGAACCATACTGAGTACCATCCTGGATTTTTGAAGTTGAAATGTATATATACCTCTCTAATAGGATTTTTGG